ATGAGATTATTTTGAACCGTGTACCTCCACCTTTGCTATTGCTGTTCCTCTCTATTCCTAATCATCCTGGCTACCTCCCATTGTTTTACATCTCAGGCTTCTACGCTGGGAAGGACATTGTTTCTGCACCTAACCAAAGCTACGGGCCATTTTTGTTAATTAATTTCAAAATGCTAGTGATGGTCCTGAGGATCAAGCTGAGACCCAGGGAGGCTCAAAGTGTAAGGAGTTCCCCACATGGAGTGTATCCAGGTGCAGTTAGCTGAGCTGTGGGTTCTCCTACTTCCTCCACTTCCAAAAAGGCAGATGTAGGGATTAGTTTTGTTGGAGAACATCTTGGATCTGTAGGGATAGGTAAAGGAAGTCTCTAGGCTCTGTCCACTTTATAATTGTCCTTAACACCAATAAGACACAAATTACTATAGTTAGAAAATGAAATACATGCTTCTGCATATACTCATTAATTCCTATTAAATAAAAGCTGAAGAACAGAAATTAGATAACTTATTTTTTATTCCTCACAGCTGCTCAATTTACTCTCTACAGAGTTTTTTTCCTGTCTAGAGCTTTCTCTTTACTTTTTCTAAAAAGCTCACCTGAAACTGTTTTCCATTATGTGAGATGTTGAGAATGTGAAATGAATTTAGATTATTTTTCACAGATATGGCCTCTCTCCAGACTTCAGTAGGAAATGCTCTCAGACAAGCTCTTTGAAGGGCATGGAAGGATGTAAACTAGAGTTGTATGGTTTCTGTCCATAAAGTGTGATCAACTTTGTTTGGAAAACACGCCTTTGTTTGTCATAAGCATTCTTTTCTTGTCCAACAGGGCCAGTCACATTTTCAGCTGAATGTAGCAAACATTTCCACCGACTCTATCACAATACCAGGGATTGCTCAACACCAGCCTGTAAGTAGCTTGAGTAGTTTTTTTTTTTCTTTTAAGAAAATCTTTATCCAACAATTGATGCACGTAATTCTAAATTTCAAAGTGTCTGCGGGTGGGAAGCAATAGACTAAACATTGTATGAGATGCTATTTATAACACTGACACTATTTAAGTTAAGGTTGTGTGTGCCCTTGCCACTGTGGGGAATGAAAACGCATTCTAATTAGGCCTATATCCAAATCCAAAAACAGCTAGATTTCCATAAGGACCAAAAAGTTAAGATTTAATCCTTTTATCATTTTTCCAGTTCTTTGGCATAAATAAGATGTTCTTTCATAGAAGCCAAAAAAATAAGATGATCATGAAGTATAAGTCAAAATTTTCTCATCAGTTATTTTAAAGTAAATAGTTTTATATCACATCATTTTATCATTTGTAATCATTTTACTTGAATAACAGTAGCATAGTTTTTTTATTAAAGTATCATTGATATACAATCTTATGAAGGTTTCACACGAAAAACATTGTGGTTTCAACATTCACCCATATTATCAAGTTTTCACCCCCATTGCAGTCACTGTTTGTCAGCATAGTAAGATGCTGTAGAGTCGTTCTTGTCTTCTCCATGCTGTATTGCCTCCCTGAGACCTACCTGTATTGTGATCGCTAATTATAATACCCCTCAATCCCCTTCTCCCTCCCTTCTTACTCACCCTCCCCAACCCCTTCCCTTTGGCAACTGCTGTTTTGTTCTTTCAGTTTTGCTCTGTTGTTATTCTCCACAAATGAGTGAAATCATTTGATACTTGTCTTTCCCTGCCTGGCTTACTTCACTGAGCATAATACCCTCTAGCTCTATCCATGTTGTCGCTAATGGTAGGATTTGTTTTCTTTTTATGGCTGAATAATATTCCATTGTGTATATGTACCACCTCTTCTTTATCCATTCATCTACTGATGGACACTTAGGTTGCTTCCATATCTTGGCTATTATAAATAGTGTTGTGATAAACATAGGGGTGCATGTGTCTTTTTGAATCAGGTATCTTGTTTTCTTTGGGCAAATTCCTAGGAGTGGAATTACTGGGTCAAATAGTATTTCTATTTTTAGTTTTTTGAGGAACTTTTATGTTTTCCACAGTGTCTGCACCAATTTACATTCCCACCAGCAATGCGGGACTGTTCCCCTTTCTCTGCATCTTCTCCAGCATTTGTTGTTTCTTTTCTGTTGGATGTTGGCCATTCTAACTGATGTGAGGTGATATCTCATTGTGGTTTTAATTTGCATTTCCCTGATGATTAGTGATGTGGAGCATCTTTTCATGGGCCTGCTGGCCATCTGAATTTCTTCTTTGAAGAAGTGTCTGTTAAGATCCTCTGCCCATTTTTTAAAATTAGGTCACTTGTTTTTTGGGTGTTGAGGCATGCGAGTTCATCTTATATTTGGATGTTAACCTCTCATCGGATAAGTTGTTTATGAATTTTATTCTCCCATACTGTAGGATGCCATTTTGTTCTGCTGATGGTGTCCTTTTCTGTACAGAAACTTTTTAGTTTTATGTAGTCCCATTTGTTTGTTTTTGCTTTTGTTTCCCTTGCCCAAGGAGATGTGTTCAGGAAAAAGTTGCTCATGTTTATACTCAAGAGATTTTTGGCTGTGTTTTCTTCTGAGTTTTATGGTTTCATGACTTACATTCTGGTTTGATCCATTTCGAGTTTACTTTTGTGTATGGGTTTAGACAGTTTCATTCTCTTCCATGGACTGTCCAGTTTTGCCAACATCAATTATTGAAGAAACTGTCATTTCCCCATTGTATATCCATGGATCCTTTATCATATATTAATTGGCCATATATGTGTGGGTTTATATCTGGGCTCTCTATTCTGTTCCACTGATCTATGGGTCTGTTCCTGTGTCAGTACCAAAATTGTTTTGATTACTGTGGCTTTGTAGCAGAGCTTGAAGTTGGGGAGTATAATCCCCCAGCTTTGTTCGTCCTTCTCAGGATTGCTTTGGCTGTTTGGGGTCTTTTGTGGTTCCATATGAATTTTAGAACTATTTGCTCTAGTTTGTTGAAGAATACCATTGGTATTTTGATAGGGATTGCATTGAATCTGTAGATTGCTTTAGGTAGGATGGTCATTTTGACAATATTAATTCTTCCTTTTCATGAGCATGGGATGTATTTTCATTTATTGGTATCTTCTTTAATTTCTCTCATGAATGTCTTATAGTTTTAAGAGTATAGGCTTTTCACCTCTTTGGTTAGGTTTATTCCCAAGTATTTTATTCTTTTTGATGCAATTGTAAATGGAGTTGTACTAATTTCTCTTTCTGCTAATTCATTGTTAGTGTATAGGAATGCAACAGATTTCTGTTTATTAATTTTGTATCCTGCAACTTTGCTGAATACAGTTATTCTAATAGTTTTTGGTGGAGTCTTTAGAGTTTTCATTTTTTAAATATGTCATCTGCAAACAGTGACAGTTTAACTTCTTCTTTATCAATTTGGATGCCTTTTATTTGTGTTGTCTGATTGTTGTGGCTAGGACCTCCAGTACTATGTTGAATAAAAGTAGTAGCATTGTGTTTTAAAGTTTTCTCTAATGTATTCCTTTGGATGCTTACTTTACTGAAGTTAGTAGTAATTCCAAACATGATATTTAAATGCCATTGAACTGCTCAAATCATGATTTTGTGTGGTAACTCAGTTGGCTGTTTTTAAATTCCTTTCTAAGCCTAAACTTTCCTTTTAAAGAAAATGAATTTTAAGTATTTTGTTTATTTTAAACTAGATTTTTCATCTTGAGGAATATTTAATTTTACTTAGGATGTTGAGTCAGAGTTGTCCCAAAACTATTTGTGTTTAATGACTAGGGAAAATTAATCATGTTGGAATCAAGGCAAAAATGATTAAGTGGTAGCACAGCCTGGTGGAGAGTTTGTGCTTTGCAACCAGACTGCTTACTATTGATGAAATTCCTAACATTTTGATGCTGTTTTTTCATCTCTAAAGTAAAGATAACAATAGCACCTATCTGATTGTGTTATTAGTAGAATTAATGAGAAAATCCAGGTCAAGCATTTGTTATGTTATCTACTTATTAAATTATAGCTGTCATCATTATGAATTAGTGACCCAACATTTGTAGTAACTGTACATGATTTACCTCTAAATGTTTTTCCTAGACTACAAAAGATGTGCTAGATTGCTAACAAGATTAGCAGTGAGTCCACTGTGTTCACAGACATAGAAGACCTACCCTGTGAGTATGTATTTATTTCTCTTTCTTATTCTGCTTAATAGCCTTTCTTAAGAAATTTTGAACAATTTAAAAAGCCAGGAAGCTGATTTTCTCTACAACTAATGAACTTAAATCTGTGGATTTTTCACTTAGTGTTGAAGTTTGATCTAATTACACAGACTGGTTTATTGATTTAATTAAAATGCCCTCAACAGTGATTGAATCAGGATAAACCACTTCGGCAGCTTTATTGGTCCTAAGTGATTTTTTAAAAGTATTTCAAGTTTTGGTGTTCTATCATTATTGTGCAGACCTGATGTGGATAGACATTAGATTAACAAAATTATTTAAAGGTCTGCCTTTTCTTAACTGGTCAAAAAACATAGCAAAAGTAGAGCCAGGTCCTACGATTTGGGTTTGTTTGGTAAGGAGAGAAGAGAAAGCATTGGGAGAATAGAAGAAAAGGCAAAGGATGGAAAATATAATGAATACACAACCATCATCTGCTCCACTTAAACTTTGCCAGAGCCAAGTGCTAAGTCAGAATTTTCATTCTGGCTAAATTACCCTAGGACCCTAGGGCAATAGGTATTTGTATAATCTAAATCTAATTCAAATTGTAAAATTCATTTACAAAAGTAGAATCTATACAAAAGTTTGAAAGATATTTTGCAAAAATCTTTCTAATCAGTAGCTCTTTCCCAGGGTAGTATGTTTTTGGGGGTCAGTTTCAGTACCATGGACAAGTCCCTTTAAAGAAACTCTTCCTTAGTTCATGAGGGTGGGAATAGAAGTCACGGAGTACCTGTAGACCAGAACTATCTACAAATGTCTTGATCTGGCCAAGTTACTTAAACCTTCTGAAACAGGTGCATGGGGATTTATTAACTCATCTCACAGGTTTCTTATGACAATGTGACAGTCCTAACCTATTGCTCTTGTTGCTATTCTTACTCTTATTTAAAAAGCAATTATACATTAGCAGAATAATTGGCACTCTTCATTTTGCATATGTACAGTTGCTAAACATAAAGATTCTCTTTTCTTTTTGATTGAGGTCATTTCAGTATTTAGTGTTTATCTTACTTGAATTAATTATTCTCAAGGTAATACTTGTCTCACCTGAATTAGTTATTCCCTATGTATCTCGAACGTTTTGAATAGTGTGAAGCATGAATAAATCGAGAAAATTCATTAGGCTACAGAGATGGCCTAAACCAAGCCGTGTTTATCTCTTTCTTTGTTTGAGTACATTTTTTTTGAATGCATAAATTTAATAAAGTGCAGAAACAACTTAATAACTGGAAAAGTTCTCAAAAAATAACTACTGTATTATAATTTAAAATATTGTGTGCCAACTTACATTCTCCTGGGACTAGATCCACAGAAGACAGGGCTGATAAATATGCCTGTTTGAAATTGCAGAGTTTAGAGATTTAGTGGCTTCCTCTGTTGGAGTCATTTCTGAGAGTATCTGTTTCTAATTATTTATTTAACAAGGTATCAGAATCACAATATTACTTTTAGGAGTATTTATGACTTATTTAGGTGATGTCAAATTCATTTTCTGTTTTTTCTAGATACCATAAAACTTTCATGGGGAAGTCATCATTTAAAATCTCTAAAGTAGTGATTAGCTTCTCCCCACCTCCACCATCTCTAGTCTACCTTCTCAGATTAGGCTATAAGAGTCCACAGATTCTTTAATCAAAATAATTATTATATATTAAAACTACACATATTTTTAAGGATGTTAGAAACTGGTCCTAAATGACATTTTTCTTTTTCTTCCCCCACAGGCATTTCTTAAGAATCTGAAGCAAAAAAAAAAAACACAAAAAAATGAAAGACCTAATTTGAATCATATCAAATGAAAAAAGAGTTGAAACTCCTAGTTTTATAGTGTATCATGATGAATACAATAAGAGTCTTTATATTTGTCTGTGTCATACCACAGAATGGAGTCTTCCTTGGTTTATCTTTGTGTATTCAATAGTTTGATTATTTTTTTTAAAACAAAGCTTTAATCACATATTGCAAATAGAATATTAAACATTATGCTATTTTATTTTGCTAGATATATATTATTTTCTTACATGGTTAATATTCCATACATGTATGAATTATATATTTATGTAAATTATGTCTGAGAATACCAACAAATTATTTTTTTGTATATGATTTTTAGTAATATGTTGAATAGTCATTATGAAGTCCACTTAAATAATTCTTACTTAATAATATTTAAATACATTTATTCAGAATTTTTGTCTTTATTTGCATTAATTTGAAATATGAATTTTATTAAAAACAAAACATGAAAAAATCTTTTATCTTTTTTCCTTTGACTTAAAGATACTTATAGCAGAGGTTATATATACTATTGAAATATGATTACTATAAATGCACATATGGATAAGTATGTGTTTTCTGAACTGATAATCAGTATCCTGAGACAATTTCTGCCTTTTTGAAGTTAGAACATATGCTATTGCTACCTTAAGTAAAAAGTCTGATTGTACTTGGATTTGGGGTCATGTGTGTGTGTCATGGAGTGAGAACATGTATGGGCTACCTGGGTGCTCTGTTTTGAATGTAGCAACTCACCCTGTTACACTTATAATGTAATGAAACTGAGAAAGTTACAATGAAATGATAGAAAACTCCTATCCTTTTAGAGTAGACAAAGTATGAATTGCTCAGCAATGCATCGACAGTACAACTATTGACTTTCCATCACTTTCCCACTATTTGTGTGGTGTCACAGACACATGCATGCTGTACTAGCACTCCCTTTCATTTCTCAGCACTTTCGGTTCCCCCCATAATGGAGGGTATCTTATCTGTTTGTGTATATAAACATACATTCCTTTGTCCATCAGAAAGCCAGGCTCAAAAATGCCCTTTGGCTTCAAGAATATTATGAAGCTACATTTTCTGTTTTCAGTTCCTGTGGGTAAAAGACTTACAAATAATTATATTTAAAAAACTCGGTTGGTGGGATGGAATTCTGCAGTATGCTGTCTAGTAGAGAATAAGAAGAACACTGTATTTTTAGTTTGTTGCATTTAACATGGTAGTCATAATAACATTTACAACATTTGGAAAAATGAAGTGGTTTTTGCTCATAATTATCTAAAGAGCTGGAGTGCTACTGTTCTAAAAGTGAAGAGGCTATGGGGTAATGGCAAATAAGAACTTATTGGTGAGATGTATTTGGCAGCAACACAGAAAATAGCCTAAAGGAGTTTTATGGTTAGTATGGTTTCAATAAGGTAAATTATGTCAGATGGAATTCCATGAAATTAGATTTTAAACATTCTCATAGATGACTAATGTGCTTCAGAAATGTATTCTGTGCTATATATATATATATTTAAAACCTGCAAAGATTGGATAAAAATATCTCCAGTTAAAATGATGTTTATTTTACTATACACACTCATTTTCTCACTGTATTCACCTCAACAGAGGTTGAAAGGGCAATGAATAGAGAACCTTTAATTTGTCTTCACTGAAAAAATTTGTCACGTGGAGAAGTAAATGATTGACAGATGAGTAGGAGAAAACACTCATGGTTACTTAGTAAAATAACATCTACATACAGTGTGCCAGCCAAATAAAAAATATTGAGTCCTATTAGGCTCACAAGCTGCTATTATATGACGTCTGATGGACATTTTAACCTGGGAGTTTCTTCAGTTTGATTTCCTCTTGGATCCCTCTTCTCTCTGGTGCCTATGGAGATTTAGTGATGAGTTTCCAAGTTTTACCTTGGCTTTGGCCTGGCAGCCCCTTAATACCCTGTTTCGAAATTTCTCCTGGGATCCCTGTGGTGTAGCCCCAGGCAAGGTCAACCACATGTCCACCTCTCTCACAGTACCCTGAGATGCCTCTTGATCCTCGTCAAAAGGGGACAGTCTTCAGCCTCTTCAGCCTGTGGCAATCAATATTGGGCAGGACAGTGGGTGTAGGGCAGAAGGAACTGAGGGAGAGAGAGAATAGTTTGAAGACAGAAGCTGCTCTCCCTGCCTGTCTGCCTCAAGTCAGAGAAGTGTTGCCTACTGCACGTTTCAGAAGGTTGGTGTAAAGGATTTGGGTGGTCAGTTAATAAGTACTGGATAAGACCATCCTCGCAGCCTTCCTTCTTGGTTTAATGGAGCTCTACTTCCAACTTGTGGGTTGTGGAGCAGCTGCCATGACCGATAACAGGTCCACCGAATGATTGGAGTTGGGAGGCAGAGGACACACAGGACATTTCGAAGATCAATATTGAGTCCTATTAGGCTCACAAGCTGCTATTATATGACGTCTGATGGACATTTTAACCTGGGAGTTTCTTCAGTTTGATTTCCTCTTGGATCCCTCTTCTCTCTGGTGCCTATGGAGATTTAGTGATGAGTTTCCAAGTTTTACCTTGGCTTTGGCCTGGCAGCCCCTTAATACCCTGTTTCGAAATTTCTCCTGGGATCCCTGTGGTGTAGCCCCAGGCAAGGTCAACCACATGTCCACCTCTCTCACAGTACCCTGAGATGCCTCTTGATCCTCGTCAAAAGGGGACAGTCTTCAGCCTCTTCAGCCTGTGGCAATCAATATTGGGCAGGACAGTGGGTGTAGGGCAGAAGGAACTGAGGGAGAGAGAGAATAGTTTGAAGACAGAAGCTGCTCTCCCTGCCTGTCTGCCTCAAGTCAGAGAAGTGTTGCCTACTGCACGTTTCAGAAGGTTGGTGTAAAGGATTTGGGTGGTCAGTTAATAAGTACTGGATAAGACCATCCTCGCAGCCTTCCTTCTTGGTTTAATGGAGCTCTACTTCCAACTTGTGGGTTGTGGAGCAGCTGCCATGACCGATAACAGGTCCACCGAATGATTGGAGTTGGGAGGCAGAGGACACACAGGACATTTCGAAGATCAGCCTTCAACAACGTGGCCAGTCCTTCCTCTAAATTCGGGGTGTGTCCATGCAGCTTTCCTCAGTTTACCCCCAGAACAAAAAGGAAAAGAAAAAAATAATTGTTTAAAAACCTCCTGAGCTTCCCAGTCCCTATGATGCAGCTGGAATGCATCAGGAAGGTGTGCAGGACAGCCAGAGCCTCCCTAATTGCCAAGTGAAAGTTCTCAACAGACACAGACATCCTCAGACCTTGGACACATGCGAGGACTTCAGCTCAGGCTTCAACTTCCAGAAAAATCTGTATTTGATATTTTTGTGCTACTTGCATCTTTTATGCCACTAGAAGCACAGAAGCACAGGAGGACAGGGGATAGGCATGGAGGAGAGAGTGCACTTACCTGAGGCCAGGAGGATGTTGACATGCCTGTGGAGCATCCAGTTAGGCAGTACCAGGAGGTGACTATGAAGCAGTCAGAGTTCAAACGAGAAGTTTTCAGCCAGGCTACAAAGTCACCCTCTGAAAATGAATGGAGTACACACATGTACATATACATAACATTTGTGTGTGTAATATTTTCTATTATCCATGCTTCACTTTTCTCAAGAAAGGATCCATGGCTTTCATTAAATTTGTAGGAACATCCATGACACCCAGCAAGCTAGGCACCACTGATTTAACTGATTAAATGTGGAAACCCACACAGGTTCTTTAATGAAAGCATAGGTCAGAAGAAGCGTGAATACCTGTTGCAGTCAGTGCTGACATCATCACGGACAGACCCACCAGGGCAGGAGGCAGATAAATGCAGCTCCTGAGCCAAGATTGAAAAGAAAGCTCTAGGCATTTAGAGGGCAGCTTCTAAAAGTTGTGTATCTTGATTGGTAATTAAATGTTCCATTCCAGAATATAAACTTCCTTCAGAATTCATTAAAAGTTAGTTTCATCTAAATGAGTATTTATTGATTTTTCTTTATGAATTTTAAGTGTTTTAGGTGCCCCAACACTTTTCCTGGCTCTCCTTAGCTTTCCAATGTTAAAGCAGATTTCACCTTCTCTGGGAAGATGGATACCCTCCCCTCTCCTCATTTGCTGGTCTTTACCAACAACTAGATTGAGTCTCCTCTGGCAGATAAGTTTGGTATAAATATGTTGACTGTTCTTCAACTAAGGTAATTATAGATTAAAGAAATAGATAACAAGAAGACTATAAAACCTTAGAAATTAATCTGAAGGCATTAAAGAGTATTTTTTCATTAGTAATATTTCATTAGTATTTCTATTACAGAACAACCTATATTGTATTTTTGTGTGCTTTTTAAATTTAGGAACTTTCCTATGTATTCTGTATTTTAAAACTTGGTTTTAATCCTTTATTTTTAAAGTAACTGAAATACATTTCAGAAAAAATATGGAAAATAGAAAAAAGCAAGACAAATTATGTATCATTTCCTTCCCCAACAATCATTGAGAATTGATTTATATTTTTTTTGTATTTTTTACATAATTGTATCTTGCTTTACTTTAATTAGTACTACACCAAATATATTTTACTGGTTATAATATAGCCATTCTAGTACATAGGTATTGTGCCCTATTTAGTTTTATGTAAGTTATTTCCAAAATTTTACTTTAAAAGAGAGCTTGAAAACATGTCTGAATAAGGCTCAAAATATTTTCAATAATCAGTTTATGGTTCTTTGAAAGAATATAATAATGAACCACCTGTTTGATTGAAATAGAACTAGCTATCCATTTAAAATTAAACATAAATTTAGTTGTGTAGTTTGCTTTTCATGGATTGGAGAAACTTCAGCTAAAAACCTTTCTGCCCCTTAGTGGATTTTAATGCCAAAATAAATAAAACAATTTACAGTTTTCTGCAGGAAAATATTTCTCATTAGTAAATTTTTAGTTTATTTTATCCAATATATTTGTATATGTGTTCAGAAAAAACAGTACTAAATAACAGAAACAACCTGATTTAGATTAAGCAAAAAGATAATTTATGGAGGACACCAGGTATCTCATGGGTTTCAGTATAAAATTTGGCCTTTGAAACGATAGGAATCTAGGATCCTGGGACCTCAACAGTAAATTGTGGAACTTCCCATGAGTGCACTGTTGTTGATAAGATTCAGCTCTGCAAATGCTCAGTTTCTATGTTTTTACATTCAAAAGTTAACGTTTTTTGTCAGGAGATGCTGACTAGCCCAGACTGGATCATGTGTTGACATCCAAGAGTGAGCTTTCCCTGGGACATAATATATTTCGCCTCCTGGTGGCTACACATTTCCAGTCTTCTTCAAAACTTCTCACTTTTGTGAAATACTAAACATCTCTTTAATTCATTTGCTTGAGTTAAATGCCAGTAAGAGAAGCTGTTATGGGGCAGGAAGGAAGAGGCTAGGCTCTG